CTACTCTCTGCTTGGTTATATATCTCTGAAGGAACCTGGTGGCAATGTCAAGTAATTGTTGGACTGCTAACTACAGGTTGATGATTCATGGGGTAGCTCTGAGTCAAATTTTTGTTTTAATTTGTTTTTAATATTTGGAAAAATTCAAGCAAATATCCAAACATACTACAATTTTTCAAATATATCAGATATTAGTACTGCTCTCCCCATATAGCACCTCAATTTTGAATGGCACCAGAGTCATATAAAGGTCTTAGCCTCTGTAACACTGAAACATACCATATTTCTCATTCCGTATCATACTTGGAAATTGTTTCAATTATTTCAACACTAATTGAAATAATTCATACCTGCCCTGCTCTAAGTCAAAATAGTGAGGCATGGTGTCTTACCTATGTTCACCAATAGTTCTTCTCTGTGCCCTGTCTTGTTCCTCACCTTCTCAGGATCTGCTTCCACAACTACAAATCCACTGGAGGATAATACTGTACTGCTGGAACCTTCTAATCTAGGAGAACTAACTGTTCTAAGAAATGTAGGGGACATTCTCCCAGCCAGTCCCTCAATTGTTTCTTCTTTTCTTTATATAGAGCAGTGTATGAGAGAATTAAAATTCCAAATGCCAGTCATAAATAGTGTGTATTTGTTTATTTGTTTGTTTTAGATTTGGTAGTGAAGTATGCTTTATTTTCTGCTCACGAGCACTTTATGTACTAGAAATTAAATACACTGGCTTCTTAGCCTTTTGTTAAGGAGATCCCGTTTCTTGATTTAATATTTTGGACCAAATAACAGGCATTTCCTTGTGTTTTGAAGGGTTACATTAAAAGCCGTGTGTAACTGTGATTAAACTTCATGATCCCATGTAACCACTGCGTCTCTCCCATATACAGGAATGTGCGATTCCAAACCCACTGGTATCAAATCATTTCTGACTTATAGTGACCTATAGAGTAGAAGAGAACTGCTGCTACAGGGTTTTGAGACCACGGGTTTTTCTGGGAACAGACAGCCTCATCTTTTGTCATGGAATATGTGGTGTGTTCAGACAACTGACTTTATGGTTAACAGCCAGCTCTACCCACTATGCCAGTAGGCCTTATGTGCAATTATGCTAACAGCCAATCACATTGTTCCATTTTTTAACTGAAACATTAAATAGCAGGTGCCCAATATATACTCAATACTACACTAAAAAAGCAGGAACAAGGAAGACTCAAAGATCTTCCACTATTAACAATAGAAAAGTGGTAAAACCTGTGCGAACTAGAAATGTGAACAGTCCTGTTGAGTTCCAGCTTTCACACGTTTCATACCCTATCTAAATCGTAAATCGTCATTATCTAAATCGTAAATATTATTCTTGAGATAGCTCTTTTGTGGTACACTCATATATTATGAATAAAATATATAGCATTTATAAATGCTAATTTTAAAAATATAAACATTTGTATCTTCTATGCTGTTATTTTAATTGTGATTACTGAGAAGCTGTGATAGATAAAACATGCTTATGGTACTTATTTTAGGATGATGTTTTCTTGGAATCTTTGTTTCGTCATACAAGCAAATATATCTGTTAGAATGCCCATCGGCCCTTTCCACATACCCAGGCGTATTTATGATCCAAAAAGGGAACCTAGCTTGCAATAAGTCTTGGGGCATTTCATTTTCTGGGATCAATCTGATTAATAATTTGACAGATGGCTCTTAAGTATTTGTTTTACAGTTGCTGTTCTTTTGTTACTTTAAGGAGCGAGACAAAGCTGCAAGAGTTATTCAGTGTGCTATAATCCGTTTTCTAACTAAACGGCGATTGAAAAAGGAGGCTAATGCAGCGCTCGCCATTCAGAAATCTTGGAGAAGATTCTTAGCACAGAGAAAATTAAAACTGTTAAAAAAGGAAAAACTGGAAAAAATTCAAAGTGAAGCTGCATCAGTAATTCAGGTAAAACATCCTGGACTAATTTATTTATTTAAAAAATTAATGATATTTTTAAGGAAGAAGATAAAATGAAATAAAGTTTTTAATGATTTTAGTATTATATTAGTTTATCTAATATCTAATTTTAACAAATATTTAACATATGCCTACTACCTGTGTAATTAGTTGCTGTGTTCAGCTGATAATCTTGAACTAACCTTATATTTTGGGCTAAAACCTACTTTGTGATATATTCTTTTTATATGTGGCTTGATTCCGTTTGCTAATATTTGGTTGAAAAGTTTGACAGCTCTGTTCATAAGGCATATTGATCAATTTTTAGTATATATCAGACCAGCTAGCCTTTTTATGATTTTGAGTTTGGCATTTTTCCCCCTCATTTTGTACAGGACCTTCTATTGTGATCCCAATCAGAGCAGTTCATAGTGGCAGCTGGACACCATCTAGTTCTGGTTGCAGGGTAGTGGAAGCTGAGATTTGTATAACATTAGTCCTTTGTACTCATTTCCTCTTTGTGCCTTTGATTTTCTTTAGTCTTCTTTGCTACCAATAAGTGCATCTTAGATGGTTGCTCACAAGCTTTTAAGTCCTCTGGCCATACTCACCAAAGTAGGATGTAGAGCATTGTCTTTATGGACTGTGTTAAAGCCAATTGGCCTAGATACTCCCAAGAATGTGGCCCCAAGTCCCCAAGTGCAATGAATCATTCCCTAAAACTGTTTGGTTGTGGCTAGAAGTTTTCATAATTTTGCCCTTGGTGCTATATGCTCTTCTATATATAGAGATAGATCTGTAGTGCATATAGAAATAACAACAACAATTTTTTTAAAAAACTGCTCACTGACACCATGTCAATGTCAACTCATTGGGACCCTACAGAACAGTGTAGGTTTCTGAGATTGTAACTCTTTACAGGAGTAAAAAGTTACAGTTTTCTCCTTCAAAGCTGGCTGATAGTTTGAACTTCTGACCTTGAGGATCCCAGCCCAACTCTTAACAACTATGCTACCAGTGCTTCTACATATATAAATACATATGTTGAACTATCTTCTGCCAAACATCTATTTATAAATAGGTGTAGTTCCATTGGCCTCCCATACCTTTTCTGCTTGCATGTCTATCCACTCCTAGATTATTATTACAGTTATTGCAGAATTGTGTATGGAATGTTGCTTTGAACTCTTGTGCATCTCCCAGGGTCGTTTTTTACCTTCACCTTATTGTGTTGATCTCCATCCCATAGATTGCCCTTCACTTCACCCAAGTTATACATGACTACTCTCTAGTTAGTGATTTTTGTCTCCCTTCTCCTCTCATCCTTGGTAAACGTCATAGAATTTTTTCCACTGTGTGTGAACCTTTTCTTGGCTATTTCTGGTAGTGGTCTCATATATTATGTGTGCTTTTACAATGGACTAATTTCAATCAGCATGATATCTTTTAGTTTCATTCATGTTATGATGTGTTTTGAGTATTCATCATTATTTTTAGATTATGTAACATACCTTTATGTGTATGTACTATAATTTGTTTATCCAGTCTTCTGTTAATGGGCACTTAGGTTGTTTCCATCTTTATCTATTGTGTGCAATGAACTTATCTGTTTATGTTACATGAACCCTGTGGTATTTTTTCCAACTTTTTAAGGACATACCAAACCATTTCCACAGGGGTTGGCCCATTTCAATCCCACCATCAAGGTTCCAGGCTCCACGCCCTTGCCAGCATTGCTGTTGTCAGTGTTCAATTTTGGCTTTGCTGTTGATTCTGGACGAGCTATCATTATTTCTGTGATCTGCACATCTCTAAGGGTTAATGATCATGGTCACTTCTTTATGAGTTTGTTGGCTGCCTGGATATCTTCTTTGGTGACTTGTTTCTTCACGTCTTCTGCACATTTAAATGGGATTGTTTGTCATTTTGTTGTTGAGGTACTGAAGTTTTCTTTAAGTTTTAGAAAATCAGTCCCTTGTCCAATATGCTGTCGCCAAAAGGTTTTCCCAATATATAGGTTCTCTTTTTACCCTTTTAGATAAGTCTTTTGATGTGCTTAACTGTCTGAGTTTTAGGAGGTTTCAGACATCCAAGACTGCTTCCTCTTTAAATATAATAAATTAATGGTATGAATTTCCCTTTTAAGTACTGCTTTAACTGCGTATCATATGGTATATTTTGATATGGTGTATTTTCTTGAAGTTCAAGCTATTTTCTAATTTCTCTGGAGGTATTTTCTTTGACTTATAGATTAAGAGTGTATTGTTTACGTTCCATTGTTTGTTAATTTTCTTGTTAACCTTCAGTTAGTGATCTCATTATGTTCAAATTACACACGATATGATAATTATTTTAAATGGGTTAAGGTTTGTTTTATGGCATAAAAGAAGTCTGTAGTTTGGTCAAGAATTGGTACGATATAACTCTCTTGCTAAATTTACAAAACCGCCACCTGGTTTTGTAAATGTAATTTTTTAAAACACTGCTGCTCTGATTCATGTATGTCTGTGACTGCTCTTGAAAATAATATAGCAGAATTGAGCTTTTGCAAAAAAAAAAAAAAGTTACAAAAATGGTGTTTACTGATTTGCCTTTTTAAAAGAAAAAAGCTGCTGATCCCTGATCTTAGTGAGTGTTCCATGTGTACTTAAAAAGAATGTTTAATCTGGTATTTTTAGATTGAATGCTTCTAGTAATAAGTCATTTCTATCTGCTTTTACAAGTTTTTCTTTTTTGTTAATTTTTAGCAGCTCAAGTGTAACCATGTACTCTGTGAGTTTATCCCACTTGGGACTGAATTTCTTGAGTTAGTAATGTTCTGTCTGTAGTAAAATTTGGACTGGTTTTAGTCATTAGTTCTTTAAAATTTTCCCTGCAGTAAATTTTCTCTTCACTGTCGGGCAATGTTAACACAAGTGTTAGGTCACTTGAGATTGCCCCACAGTTCCAGAGGCTCTGTTGATTTTTTTCCCCCCTCAATTTTCTCTTTCTTTTTTCGACTGGATAATTCATATTACTTATTTTCAAGTTCAGGAAGTGCTGTTGGCATAGTGGGTTATGTTTGGGGCTGCTAACCACAAGGTCATCAGTTAAAAGCACGTTCTGCACCACATGAGAAAGATGAGGCTTTCTGGTCCCATGTAGATTTATTACCTTGGAGACCCGGGGGGCGGGGCAGTTTTACTGTCAAACGGCTATGCGTCAGAATCAATTTGATGGTAGTGGATTTGGCTTTGTTTTTTTTTGTCTTCAAGTTCTTTGACTCTTTGTTTGTCACCTCTACTCCATTATTAAACCTTGGCAGTGATTTTACATGTTAGCTGTTGTATTTTTCAGCCCTAGTATTCCCACTTGGCTGTTACGGCTGTGCTTCATGTCTCGTTAAACTTTCTGTCGTGGCTTTACTCTACATAGTTTTTGCTTGTTGGAGTGTTATTGCAGCATTAGCTCCTTTAATGTCTTTGTCAGACAATTCTGTTTGTGTCTTCTCAACATTGGCATCTGCTGATTTTTCTTCCTGTCAAAGTTGTGGTTATCCTGATGGGACTTTGCCAAGCAATTTTGAATTGTGTCCTGGATATTTTGAATATTGTAGAATGAGAGGCTGGGCTTGAAAAGAAAAGGCCATTCCTCTGGTGAATGTTAATATTTTTGTTTTATAGTAAGCAAATACTCAATAAACGCTTTTTAAAAATAGATATGTGAGTGTACTGATAGGATTGCTATTGTAATGAGCAGAGTTATTGGGAAAGAAGGTGTGCTTATCACCTGTTATAAATATCAAAGTGGATTCCTACTTTAGTACAGGCTGTCGACACTTATTCAAAAGGAGTGATTATGGAAGTATAAATTAAGCTAGGCACACTGACCTTTCATTTCTGGCTTTGAGGGTTTTACAGACAAAATGCAAGTAATAGAGAATAATGGTCATTGGTCTTGACTGTAACCTTGGGAATATGGAGTAGGCCTACTCTGTCCTGTGGAGTCACTGTGAGTCAGATTAGCTTGTTATCAAGATGATGGTGGGAGGGAGTTATGTTCAATTCATTTCTTGAAAGATTGTTTAGTATTTTACATTGAAATACTTTTTCTAGTTTTCAAAGCCATTTTACATAAGCAAACTGCACTAACTGCAGTAAACATAGCTAGAGAAACGTTTAATTACTAATACAAGCTTCATAATAAGAAAAATTAAGTGGAATACATATCATTTCTTGTCAGACCGAAGTGTTGGAACAAAACCACATGTGGCACAGTACAAGCATAAGGCAATACTTCTTAGGGAAATTTAGAGACAAAGAATCAGCAGAATTCTAAGTACTCACTGATGTACTGGTGTTTGGGTCAAGCACAGCTCCATGCATAATGAGTATTGTTATACTGACTTATGTATATAAGTAAAATAAGACACAGTAGGAAACGCCTCAATTTTAATAGTGTTGGGAGTGTTTTAGACAAAGAGGGATGGTCTTATAGCCAAGAAACATCCAGGGTTATTTACCGGTATCCTAGCTTCATTTAGACAATAACCAGTGGAATCCACTTGAGACTAGTAGCCTTTTCTGTTGAACCAACTCATTGCTGATGTTCCACTCTGCCCTGTAGTCACTGTGCAGGGTTCAGGGGGTGCCTTGGCGTGGGAAATGTTTACGAGACATGCAGTTTATCATCTTCACATCTTCCCTGAATTCTACTCCTTCTGTGTATAATTCTGAAATAGGAAGAACGGAAGTATTTTCTACATATTGATAATAATGAATGAGAGTGAGCAAACTCATATGTTCCTCAATTTCCTCTATTATCTGACCGTAAAGTAATAGTACAGAAGCTCTTACATACATAACTATTGATTATGATAAGATAGCTTCACAATCTTGAAATAGAGGTGAAGATATAAGAACTAGAGGTTTATTTATAGAAAATAATTAGAATCAGCAGGTAGCAAAAATTAATGTTATAGTTTGATTTTGACTTTTAAAATGCTTCTGGTAAAACATAAACATGTTTCTATTTATTATACTACTAATACAAACAAAGTAAAATATAATTAAGAATCAGACAAGTATTTCTGAATTGGTCATAGCTATATCAATATATAAACTAAACTACAAATAAAAGATGCAAGTATCTTTTGGTAAAACGTACTAAGTTCTTATATCTTAAGCTAATTTTTAAGTATTAGACAGATTAGTTTTTTCAAAGGTGTTAATTATAGAAATCTTCACCTATTTTACTTTGTGTCTTTTCTTGTCTTTAGGCGGGTTGGAGAAGATATTCCACTAGAAAAAGATTTCTGAAATTGAAGTATTATTCAGTCATTCTGCAATCTCAGATAAGAATGATAATTGCTGTAACTTCTTATAAGCGGTATCTGTGGGCTGCAGTTGTAATTCAGAGGCATTGGCGTGCTTATTACAGGAGAAAACAAGATCAACAAAGATATAAAACGCTGAAGTCATCAGCCCTTTTTATCCAGTTCATGTTCAGAAGATGGAAGCGACGCAAAATGCAATTACAAACAAAAGCTACCATAATCTTGCAAAGAGCATTCAGAGAATGGCAAGTCAGGAGACGAGTGAAAGAAGAAAAATCTGCTATTATCATTCAGTCATGGTATAGAATGCACAAAGAACTACGTAAATACACTCATATTAGATCTTGTGTGGTGTTCATCCAGACAAGAGTTAGGTGCTTTCAAGCCCAAAAGTTATATAAGAGAAAGAGAGCATCTGTTCTGACCATCCAAAAGTACTACAGAGCTTATGCGAAAGGGAAGCTGGAGCGTACCCAGTGTTTGCAGAAACAGGCTGCAGCAGTTGTACTACAGACTGCCTTCAGGAGAATGAAAACTCGTCATTTACATCGGCGGCTCAGAGCCGCGTGTGTCTTACAGTCTTATTGGAGAATGAGACAAGAAAAACTGAAATTTGTAAGCCTAAAGAAGGCGGTCATCAAATTGCAGGCACACATTAGAAAATATCAACAACTACAGAAATATAAGAAGCTGAGAAAAGCCGCCCTGGTAATCCAGGCTCGTTTCCGAGCTTGCAGTTCAGCCAGGAAAGTTCTAGCCTCGTATCAGAGAACACGTGCTGCTGTCATTGTTCTGCAGTCTGCATGCAGAGCAATGCAAGCGAAGAAAAAGTTTGTCCACATCCGAACATCTGCTATAAAGATTCAGTCATATTATCGAGCTTACACTGCCCGCAAAAAGTTTATGAGCCTAAAAAATGCAACAATAAAGTTGCAGTCTGTTGTCAAGATGAAGCAAGCCCGCAAACAGTATTTGCGTTTAAGAGAAGCAGCACTGTGTATCCAGCAATGGTACCTTTCCCAAAAAAGGGCTGCATTAAAGAGAGAAGCATTTATACAGGTGCAGAAATCTTGTATCAAACTGCAAGCTTTTGTTAGAGGATACCAGGTTCGAAAACAGATGAGGCTGCAAAGAAAAGCTGCGATTTCACTACAGTCTTATTTCAGAATGAGAAAAACTAGACAATCGTATCTGAAAATTTATAAAGCAACCATTGTCATTCAGAATTACTACCATGCACACAAAGCAGGAGCCAATCAGAGAAAGAACTTCTTGCAAATCCGAAGAGCAGCTACTTGCTTGCAGGCAGCCTACCGAGGTTATAAAGTACGCCAGCTAATCAAACAACAATCTGTAGCTGCCATTAAAATTCAAACTGCCTTTAGAGGCTATAGTAAAAGGATGAAATATCAATGTGTTCTTCAGGCTGCTATCAAAATTCAGAGATGGTACAGGGCATACAAGACTTTACGTGATAAGAGAACCCTGTTTTTAAACACACGAGCAGCTGTAATATTTCTCCAGGCTGTGTACCGTGGCTGGAAAGTTCGGAAGCAGCTCAGAAGGGAACATAATGCAGCAGTGAAGATTCAGTCTGCTTTTAGAATGATCAAGGCCCGGAAACAGTTTAGATTGTTAAAAAGAGCAGCTGTAGTCATCCAGCAGCATCTGAGAGCAAGGGCTGCAGGAAAGCAGCAGCGTACGGCATACGTTGAACTCCATCGGGCTGCGCTGAAGCTTCAAGCCTCCTGGAAAGGGAGGAAAGTGAGATGGCAGATTCAAAGGCAGCATGCATGTGCAACTATCATCCAGTCATACTACAAAATGTATGTGCAACAAAAGACGTGGAGAGCCTGGAAAAAATCAGCTCTTCTTATCCAACTGCGTTATAGGGCTTACCGGATTGGACAGAGGCAGCGTCATTTATATTTGAAAACAAAAGCAGCTGCAATCATTTTACAATCAGCCTACCGAGGTGTTCGAGTCAGGAAAATAGTAAAAGAGATGAAAAAAGCTGCAGTCAGTATCCAATCTAAATATAAGGCCTACAAAACCAAAAAAAATTATGTAACCCAGAGAGCTTCTGCTATCACAATTCAGAGATGGTATCGAGATATTAAAGCTGCAAAACAGCGGCGCAAGGAATATCTTGATTTAAGGGCCAGGGCCATTAAGATCCAAGCTGTCTACAGAGGTACCAGAGTAAGAAGGCGTATTCAACACATGCACATGGCAGCCACCTGCATTAAAGCCATGTTTAAAATGCATCAGTCCAAACTAAGATACCATGCAATGAGAGCAGCAACTGTTATTATTCAAGTCAGGTATCGAGCCTACCATCAAGGTAGACTACAGCGTGCAAAGTACTTGACAATTCGAAAAGCAGTTACTACAATTCAGGCATGGTTTAGAGGGTTAAGGGTCAGACAAACTCTAAGAGAGATGCAGATTGCGGCAACACTCATTCAGTCACACTATAGAAGATATAGGGAGCAAAAATATTTTGGAAAGCTAAAGAAGGTAACTAAAGCAATACAGCAAAGATACCGGGCAGTAAAGGCAAGAGACGTACAATTTCAAAGGTATAACAACTTAAGACATTCGGCAATATGCATCCAGGCTGCTTTTAGGGGAATGAGAGCTAGAAGACATTTAAAACGTATGCATTTAGCAGCAACTCTAATTCAGAGGAAGTATAGAATTCTAATGATGAGAAGAAGATTCCTCTCTCTCAAGAAAACTGCTCCTTGGGTTCTGAGCAAGAGTCACGCAAATGTTGGCACAAGGCATCATTTAGAACAATCCCTCCAGGTACAAAAGGCGGCCATTAAAATCCAGTCATCGTGCAGAAGATCGATGGTAAAAAAAAAGATGCAAGAGATGCACAGGGCTGCGGTTCTCATTCAGGCTGCTTTCAGAATGCACAGAGCACGGGTGAGATTTCAGACTTACAAACATGCCACAGTTCTAATCCAGCAACATTACCGCGCATACAGAGCTGCGAAACTGCACCGAGAAAACGAGAGCAGACGACTGCAAACCACTGTGGTCACCCATGCTGCAGGTGAGGGCAGGAGCACAAGACAGCTCCTACACGAAGAACAACGAGCCACTATTGTAAACCAAAGCTCATATAGCGTGCACAGGCAATATTACCACCGAAAGGTTCAGTGGGCTATGAACATCTTGCAAGGAAGATCCAGAGCAAAAGAAAGCCAACAGAGAGCTCTTCAACACAAGGCACTCAGGAAAGCAACCAGTTGCGTGCTGGAAGGGTTCCAGGGCGTGCACATAGGGAATCAAATTCGGAAAGAGCATCAGGCTGCCACTGTTGTGCAGAAGCACTTTAAAGCCTTTATAGTTAGGAGGCGGTATCTCCAGCTCCGAGCCGCGGTCATTTGTGTTCAAAGAAGATACAGAGCACTAATTGCAACGCAGAAGCATACCCAAACCATTATCTGCACACAGGCTTCTCACGGAGGCTGCGAGAGACAGAGCGGTACCCAGCGAAGGTACCTGGCTGCCACCCTCATCCAATCTTTCTACCGAATGCACAGGGCCAAAGTCCTGTATCAAACAAAGAGGGCCGCCGCTGTGGTTATCCAGAAGTATTATAGGTCATATGTCAGAGTAAAAATAGGAAGAAAGAGATCTTTAGCGGTGGCGACATCTGCCCCGACCATTCTGGCTGCCCCTAGAGGCGTGCACGTTGGGCAGGAACTGGAGAACTCTGCGGCAGAGAAGGCGGCCATCGTCCTGCAGGCTGCGTTCCGCTGTTACCGAGCTAAAACGCAGTACAGCGCTGTTCGAGGGGCGGCAGTAAGGATTCAAAGGTGGTATAAAGCTGCTCTACGTGCTCGGTCACTGGAAGCAGAGCATCACTCTCAGAGAAAAGCGGCACTGACGATTCAAAAGGCTTTTCGTAAAACGGTCACAAGAAAACTGGCAACACAAAAGCGCGCTGCCCTACGAATCCAGTGCTTCCTTCACATGGCTCTGTACAAGAGAAGATTTGCTCAGCAAAAATGGGCTGCCATCACTTTACAGCAGTATTTCAGGGCGTGGCAAACCAGAAAGGAGTTTTTGTCATACAGGAAAGCGGCAGTGGTTTTGCAAACTTACTTCAGAGCGTTTCTGTGTGCAAAATATCAAAGACAAGTTTATTTACAGACCAGGAGCAGTATTATCATAATTCAAGCTAGGATGAAAGGATTTTTACAAAGAGAAAAGTTTCAGAAAATTAAAGAGAGCACCATAACGATCCAGGTATTTATATATTTAATTTTAATATAAAACATCCTTTTATAACAATATTTGTTACATTATAAAAAATCAGCTGGAGCAGGTCATAAACAATGGTATTTAGTTGGGTGATCATTTTGATTTTCTTTCAAAGAGGGAAATTCTTGAGAATGAAAAAGGGAGCATCAATAATAATTCAGAGCACGCAGAGTTGGGATTGTTCTTGCTATGGTCAGCCTAAGCACATTTCAGAAGTGGTTGATTTTAGAAATACTGGGAGAATTTGAGATTATAGTCTTAATTGGTGAACACACTCTAGCAAGTTTGTATTTTCTTAAAGTGGAAATTTTAAGCTAAGGTATAAAGTGCTATCCTGCATAATTTTGGCCAAGTAGGATAACAATTTCTTTATCACCCTGTTAACCAGAGCTACTTAGGATAGACAGACATACTTTATTCTAAGTGTTTAGCACTTTTAGTAATTTGCAAATGTTGCCAGAGATAAGTAGAGCCAGACATTGAGTCACTTGAAGCTATTTCTTTACCACAATCAACTGGGCCTTGGACCTATCTGTGTGTGATGCATTGGTAATTTGTTGGATTGCTATTTTGCTTCTAAATAATACCTTTATTTAACAAACTGGGTGCTTGCAATATGCAAAATACTGTAGTGGGTGAAATGAATGGGCAGTAAATAAACTATGTTTAGTTGCTGTCCTCAAAGAACTTAACTGAGGAAGGAAGAGCTCTGACAATTATTACTGGAAGCAGAGAAGGGAAATCTAGACTAATTCCAGGGATCAGAGATGGTTTCCTAGAGTAGGTGGTAAACCGAAACATGGGTTGAAATTAACCAAGTAAAATATATGGAAAGGACTACTTCACTCACAGAATAATAATGGAAGTCCAAAAACAGTAGCATGTATAGTACAATAAAAAGACGGATAGACTAGATTGGTGGTGGAAGGAATAAGACTGGATGATTTTGTAAGACATGAAAATAATGTAGTCATTAACCTCCACACTAAGAATCTCTGAAGGAATTTAAGTAAGAGAAAGCCAAAATCATCTCTCTCTCTCTCTCTCTCTCTACACACACACACACACACACACACACACACATATACATATATACACACTTTTTTTTTTTTTCTGGAAGGAATGTGGAAAGTTGACCTGTCAGGGGAACAAAACTAAAAGTGTGGTGACCAGTTAAGAAACTTTGAGCATAAGCCAGTGGAAAGATTTTCACAGCTCACTATATATGAGATTGTGAAGATTTGAGTTGAAGGATAGAATTAGCAGGGTATAAGAGCACAAACAAGGAATTGTTTGATTTGGGGCTGAACGGCGTGACTGCCATGTGTCGCAGGAGTGTTTGGAGTCTTACAGACTTGGATTCAACGCTTACTATTTTTCTGTCTCTGGTAACAAGTCTCCTCTTTCACCATTCAGTTTACTTTTCGGTAAAACAAATCCTAATAACAGTCTTACAAGACAGTTGTAAAGATTAAATGGAACTACATTGGTTAGAGTTATGTTAGACTGAGCTGCTAGCCAGCCACAGGTATGTGCAATAAAGCACACAGTAGAGATTTGCTGCAATAATCATCAGTGTTCTTGATTATTGTACAAGAAAGTGGGCTCCGTATGTGTCATAGTGAAGCAGCCTCACGGGACAAGCATGACCTACTGTTTTAAGCAATATGTTTTTTTGTCTCTGCAAAACTTGTATTATTAACCTGTCTTGTATACCGATTCTTAAAAATTTACTGAAAATAAAGTACTTATTTCAGATTTGTTATATTTATGTGTTTAATAGGCTGCATGGAGGAGATATAAAGCTAGGAAGTCTTTCTATGAAATGAAAGCTGCCTGCAAGATTCAAGCCTGGTATAGATGTTACAGAACACGTAACCAATATTTAGCTGTATTAAAAGCTGTTAAATTCATTCAAGGTTGCTTCTATACCAAAATGGAGAGGAAATGGTAATTAATCTTAGCTCTGTGTGAGAGAATGAGTGTGTGCATTTATATAGTAGTTATGTCCTTATATAAAATAAAACTGCTTATTGATTTTTTTAAGTCTGCTATGTTTAATTTATGTGGTTTGGTTGCTCTTTTCTGTATTCATTAAATGAAATATATCATTATATATTATATAATAGATCATTTAATTATGTTTTATATGTCTGTTTGGTTTTTTTGAAATAATGTTTAGCCTTAATGAGACTCAGTTTAAAATATGACATAGGATAAGGTGGCATCTCGTTCTATTTGGTATAAGGTTATTATAAGTTAGAGCTGACTCCATGATGGTACCTAACAACAACAGATCAGTAAATCCTGCAACAGCCTCAACCTCTATAACGCAGAAACCTGTCGGAGAAGGAAAACTCAAATGCTTTCCACCAAAACAAGTGTCAGAAAAAACGTTAAGACTAAAGGGTCAAGACAAGTAGAACAAAAGGCAGTCTCTTTGAATTTCGACTCTCACAGGTTTTACTGTGTGTGTATGTGTATGTGTGTACTGTTAGTCCATACATAATTTATTCAGGTCGGTAGAGATTATAATGTAAGCATGGCGGAAAGAGACTAAGAGTCCGGAGAATCCTGGTTTGCTTACTGATGCACATACCAACTTTGCTGTTGAATTTACTGGGAAAATTTTTCTTCTACTTATATTCCCCATATTCTTTATACTTGATAGCAAATTCCCTAGTTACCAGCCTGTCTGCGCTGATTGATTGCATTTCCCCATTTCTAGTTAATTTCTTTCACTTGTCTTTTTGAAAGCTGTTAGCCTACCTACTTCTTACTGCATAGCATAAGAATGTTTCTCCAGTTCTCAGAATCAATGTATTCTTAAATCACTTACTAATGTCAGAAGAGTTCTCAGATCAATTATAAAGGTAGACTCAGGACTTACCAGTAAAGATACAATTGCTACTGTGAACTATTAAACACTCATGTCTTGTTTTTTAAGAAATGTGATAACAAGATAAATTCAACTGTCTGTCATTCCACATTATCAAGAAGAGGTCAAAAGCCTCTCCATTCTCATGTTTTTATCTGTTGACCCCTAAAGTTTGATTTCTAGTGCTCACATTTCCCTCTCCAATTTAGGACTGTTTATAGAATATTTCCACTTAACTATATGATGATCTTTCTTTTCAAAGAAGCTTCCCTTTCTCAATTCCTTCATGTTGCTCATGTTCCCCAGTCCTCTTCCTGATGAGCCCTGCTTGGACGGAGACGCACATCCACTGTGGACTCAGATTTCCTTTCCTATGTCTTCTACCTCTTCTCAGTACCTGTTTAGGTTTTGTCTGGATCTATAGTGTTGTGATTTATTTTGCTCTCTTCAAGGGAATCTTTGTTATGTTAGAATCTTAAACTAATCATATGCAGTGGTATAGCTTTTTACTCATTATTGGAACATTGCCAAGATAATTTCATATTTTAATTGCGTTGATTCATATGTAAATCCTGCTTAAATGAGGCTTCTCCTTAGTAGTTTGTCACCGCCTATCTTATGTCTTCTTTCCCTCATTAAAGGAGAGAGAATAAATACTAAATAGATTAAAGTAATTTACAATGACTTCCCAATGACAATTTTTTTTAGGTTTTTGAATCTGAGAGCATCAACTGTTATCGTTCAGAGAAGATGGAGAGCTAAACTTGCTGGAAGAATAGTTCATGAGCACTCCTTAATGATGAAAGTAGGTGTAAAAATTTCAATTGTAAAGAAATGATTTAGTAAATGGAAAAGAAACATTATTTTAAAGTCTAATTGTGCTTTTGTTTTTTTATGTTTCACAAAAAAGAAAAAACTCAGTGCCATCAAGTCAATTCTGACTCCTAGTGACCTGTGAGTTACTGAGACTATAACTCTGCATGGGAGCGAAAAAAGCCCTGCCTTCAGGGCTCCAGTATCTACTACGGCGAATTAAAATTACTCATTCACAAAATAATATTTGTGGACATTTGTGTAATTATAACATATTCTCATGTTAGAATTGACTTTTAGAATAAGTAATTTATTTGAAGAAAGTCATAATAAGTAGAATATTTTCTATAGTCAGTTATTAACATATTATTTAAACCACCATTGGTAATCTTTTAAAAATGATACTTAAAATTGATTTTTTATATATGTTACTAATACATGTAGTAGTTATGGTCTTTTAAAAGAAACCAAAATTTCAATTTTACTTGTGAATTAAATGTTCATGTGATATTCTATGGTTATTTAAGCCCTTAATATTATGACTATGACTAACAGTTAATATATAGTAGACATCAGTTCTTGTATATATAGTTAACTGGCTTGATCCTCATAATCTTTTATGGTTACTGTTAGCGCACCCATTTTATAGATGAGGATATAGAAGTGAAGCTACCTGTCTAAGGTCACTGCTGGAAGGGCAGAGGGCTGTGTTAGAAAACACATCTACTTTTCATTATAAATCCGTTCTATTGGCTGTAGTTAAAACTTGGTTGTCTGGATGGTAGATAATTGAGAAATATAAGGTATGCTGGCGGTAGACTACGGTTCTTAAAACTACAAATAGCTTCCCTCATAGATGTATATAATGGCTAATCTATAATGGCTCCCCATATTATCAGTTGGTTGATAGTAAGCTTAATCCTTTTCCGCCGCACAATGAAAATTATTTACAGAATGAGAGAAAGAGCACCCAGAGATATATTCTGTCTAGGTTGCACTTCATGGAAACGTCATTTTTAGTTTTAGATTTACATGGGTTTAGAAGTAATACTACACCACCACCTTTTCAAAGCCTTGAAATATGACCTTCTTAAGCTATATACCCCCCTCCACCCCGCCTTGCAATCTATTGAATGCTTGTACTTACACCATGTATTTTTTACTGCGAAGTTTAAGAACCACCAGCAGGTTGAAAATCGTATTATTTCTATTGTTACTAATTTTTACTTATAGAGACATCAAGCGGCCTGTTTGATTCAAGCAAATTACAAAGGATATAAAGGAAGACAGGTCTTTCTTCGGCAGAAATCTGCTGCCTTAACTATACAAAGATATATAAGAGCAAAGAAGGCTGAGAAGTGTGAAAGGATAAAATATCTTGTATTAAAAAAATCCACAATTGTTCTACAAGCAGTGATCCGTGGGTGGTTAGTAAGAAAAAGAGTAAGTATTTTTAAGTAGAATATCTCTGTCTCATCAAATGAAAGAATTTGTTGCTAATGGTGTTAAGAAATTTTAGGTTCTGGAGAGCAATTTCAGAAGTTACGTAAGCATTTGTTTGAATTCACTCGATTTTTACAGAGCACTGGTTCCTGTACATTTCTGTTCTGAGCCCACCAAATGTGTAAACTTAATATTTTCTTATGTCATTAATATTAAAAATGCATTGTGAAGGGAGGTCTGTTGTTAGTCAAGTAGTGTTTTGCTACCACTAAATAACTCTGAGGTCTTGCCACTACTGTTCTTGTTGTGGTTTCTCTATCTTCTGCAAGAGAGAACCCTTTGAATATGTGCCCGGGCAAAGATAGATCAGTACATTTGAAGTTAAAGAAGGAAAGCCCTTCTGTATTTTGTTCATTTAATATAAATTGGAAGTCTTAAGACTAAAGGCTGCTTTAGTAAACTTAAGCTGCATGTTTTTATGCTGGATTTCCTAATATTAGAGTTGAGATCTAATACTGGAGGAATTAATTCACATACTTTTGTCTGGTTAAATAGCACTATCTCTAATAGTTCTACTTGGAATGCTTAAACCTTTTTTGTATTTAATATTGATACAATTCTCTTATTACGAATACATTGCAAAGCCTTAACCAAATGTTATTCATTATCCTGATTAAATTGTTAGTCTTTCTAAGGTGACTAAAATATTATTTTGCTTTTGATATTCTTAGTTATGGGTAGTTATTAGAAATATTGTTTAGTGAAAGACTATGGTAGCTTTGGGTTTTAATGTAAATAATTTTAATCATTACATTTAATTAGTTTTATTACTAGTTTATATATTTTGGTCTTGTCCTTATATGAAAATAAACACTGATTGGTTATCGTAGGAGTCAAATGTTTGATTAATGATGCTCCCTCCCTCCCTTCCTTTTCAGATATTAGAACACAAAAGAAGAATCAGGCTTCTTCATTTCACAGCAGCCGCATATTTTCATCTGTCTGCTCTTAGAATACAAAGAGCATATAAACTTCACATGGCGGTTAAGAATGCTAAGAAGCAGATCAGTTCAGTCATCTGTATTCAGGTTAGCTTCTCTGATTTTTCTATTATCATTATCACTTAGAATTTAACAAACAGTATCCAACCAACTTCAGAAAAATGGTATAATCATGAGCCTTCAGCACTTAATTTGTTATGAAGAGTTTGGTGTTTTACATAACAAAACTAAAGCTGTGAATTATTTTACAAGATAGCTTTATTCCTTCTCTCTAGTACATACATAGTTGAGTTCTCATTGAGACATGATGCTCATTTTTGTTTGGAAATTCTTTGGTTAATAGCAAGTCTTAAATTTTTTTCATACATATTGGTTGAGTTCGACATCTATGTATTATGTGTCCGCCCCTGCCCACCCCTCCCCATTTCCTATACTTATTTTTCTGTTGTTGGTTTTCTTTATTAAATTGTAAATTAATAATACCGGTTGGGAGAGTTACAGTATATTTCAATACATTATCTATTTAACTTATGTTTGTATATATGTGCATTTATGAGTATTTTTTTCATTTATGAGTATTTATATTGCCCTTTTGTTTCAAAAAGTAAAGTAAAAAAGAAAGTTAAAATATTTTCTATGTATTTTAAACAGAGATGGTTTCGAGCAAGATTACAGCAAAAGAAATATCAGAGCATAATAAAAACTCGGCATGAAGTTCAAGAGTTGTTGGACCAACAAAATAGGGCTGCATTAGTAATACAGAAAGCAGTTCACAATTTTCTTGTCCGTAAAAAACAGGAAAAAGTTAATAGTGGCGTCACTAAAATTCAGGTAACTCAAAATTTTATCATTCTAATACAAACTTTGTCATGTAACACCTATTTTAGAAACAGACACATAAATTTTAATATTAATTTTTAATTTATTAATTTTAGTTTTTTAATTAAGAAATTAACCAATAGAATAATTTAAAAATACTACACTGATCTTATTTCATTTCTAAGCTCATTATTTAAAATTTCCAAGATGTTCATGATTAAGAGAAGAATAACTGTTTTATCTATTTGACTGGATTTAGACATCATTGTTCATTGACTAGTGGCTCACTGCATGTATAAAAGATATGTATTTCTTTTATAAAAAAATTAATACTTGTATTTATTAGAACCAAAAGTGAAGGTTTAGTGGGAAAATATGCTAAGTGTAAACTTACAGAAAATATTTACATTGAGGATTATAGTTATTCACGGAAAACATCATGGGACATAATCATATAGTTACTCTCCTTTATCACCTTAAGGCATTGTGGAGAGGATATTCTTGGAGGAAGAAAAATGATTGTAAGAAAATTAAAGCTATCCAACTGAGTCTGCAAGTGGTTAATAGAGAGATCCAAGAAAAAAATAAGCTCTGCAGAAGAACAGCACTTGCACTTCATTCTCTCCTGACATATAAGCACCTCTCAGCCGTTCTCGAGGCATTAAAACACTTAGGTCAGTCCATTGTCTTTCTTTTTTTTTTTTTTCCTGAAAGAAAGCAGTATTTTGTGTAAGATCAAAAATACTTTCTTTTGAATGTGTAAGGAATACTGCAAAACTGTAATAGTTGGTAAAACTTTATTTTATTGCTCTGAATTTACCTGTGTTTTTTCTATTTTTCCTTTTTAGAGGTTGTCACAAGATTGTCTCCACTTTGTTGTGAGAACATGGCCCAGAGTGGAGCAATTTCTAAACTCTTTGTGTTGATCCGGAGTTGTAATCGTAGTGTCCCTTGTATGGAGGTCATCAGACGTGCGGTGCAAGTCCTGCTAAATGTAGCAAAGGTAGTATTCCATTTTTATAGTGAAACATTTATTGATCAGGAATTCTGACTCCTTCAATTCAGCCTAGACTAGTTCACCACTAGATCATAGATCTCAAAAGAAAAATTCATTTATGTGCAAGAATCTTATGTAGAAGAAATGTTTAGCATAATCATAGGTAGAAACACTGATTTTTGTACAACTTTATACCTTTTGTCTTTATAATGTTAACAGCAATGCCAAGTAGGTTTTATTGATGACTTATGTGTTCGGCACTGTGTTAAGTGTTTTCATGCATTGCTTAATTTAGCCCTGTACAACTGTCTAGTAAGGTAATTAGTAGAAGAGGAATAATAATGGCCATTAGGTTCTTTACTTAAAAGTCCAATTCTGGTAGAGCAAAATTGAGATGCAGTTTGTCTGACTCCAGAGCAGGTGGTCATATCCACTGGATTGTTTTGTAATAGTAGAACCTCATTATAATCATGTTTGGCAAAGCATGATAAAAAAAAAAGTTCTATGAATTAGAACTTAAATACTTTGAGATACACACACTCACCACACACCCCAATTGCATTCAACTAAAGGTATTGAAATGGTAGATTTGTCTTTACTGTTTAACCCATAATTCACAATTAGGGTACCTGATAGTTCCTTATTTTGAAGTAGTACAGTTTAGTGTAAGAACACAGACTCCGAGGCAGAAAGTGAAGTTTGGATCACAGCTATGCAGCATACTGCAGGTTATTATTGAACTTCTCTGTGTTTCACGTTCCTTAACTGTAAAATGGCTATTCTAATAGTACCCACCTCAATGTTATTGTGAGAATTAAATGCATATTTGATTTGTAGAATTGCTAGATATATGTTAGATATTTATTTTATTCTTAATTTTGTCAATAGCATCATTATCGGTTACTATGAGAATTTCTATTAGAATCCAATGATAAAGCAATTAGAAAAATAACTGAAATGGGAGTTTTTTATCATATCAAATTTCTTTTCTCTTAAAGCAACCACATCTTCCTTTAAAGAAGGCAATGTAGTAACAATGTGGTTAATTAGATCGTAAGTTTATCATGACATCATGTGGATAAGTTGTCTTTTTCCTGAGAGGTTCTCAGTAAAGCCATCATTTGTTGTTGTATACTTTAACATGTTCAGTTTTAGAGAGTTTAGATTTAATTCATTTTATGTAGACCTTCAAAGTAGGTGAAAGGGGGGAAATTAAAATTAGGATAGGCAAATAAAGAGACTTTATAGAGGGCAGCAATATAAAAAATTATCCATGAAATCATTTGGACTTAGCTGCAAATGTAAATGAAAATTTGTCCGTAAACTGGTCGAATTACTTCTAAAAGTGAGTATTTTTATCATAACTTTGCATTTCATTCTATTTCAGTATGAGAAAACTACTCCAGCAGTGTATGCTGTAGAAACTTGCATCGAAACCCTGTTGGAGCTTTTACAGATGTACCGAGAAAAGGCTGGAGACAGAGCTGCAGACAAAGGTGGAAGCATTTTTACAAAATCATGTTGTTTGCTGGCTGTTTTACTGAAGACAACGAGTCGGGCCTCTGTAAGTAGTCAGTGTGTTTTCTTGGAGATGATTTTTCTAGCTTCCTGAGTACTTTCCCCCTGTGTCTGAATCATTTACTTCAATAGTTCCTTTAACAATATCACAGCTAAATTAGGATTTAGTATGTGTTAAACTAGTTTTGGCACAGATAAAGTGAATTATGAATGTGAAAAACTGTATTTATGACAGATAAAATAAACTTTTAACTATAGTCTGCCAAATTTTGAAAATAGAATTTATCACAAGATTATTATAAGTAGCTGTTTAGCCATATATTTAAGGAAAGTAACAGTATTCTCATCACACCAGGTAGTAGACCAGATACATAAGACTTCTGTACCCTCCTGTGGTGATCATAAATGCATGTCAAGCAATTCTGTGGTGAGATGTCTGAGTTACTCTGTAGGTGTCGTCCACTTCACCCTTCAACTACAACTTGGATTTCCTAAATTCCCCCCCAATTTTCTTTCTTTCTTTGAGGTAGCATAGGTCATGAGGTAGCATAGGTCATGATAGGATTGTAGCCCTTATCCTGAGAAAAATTAGTAACTCCCTACAGACTTTAAGCAAGGAGTGATGTGCTACAGTTCAGATTTCAGTGATCATTTTGCCAGTTGGAGGGTGGACTGGAGAGGGCATGTTTAGGGATCCGGGAGACCATGAAGGAAGGAGGCAAGTATAAATAAGTAATGGTCTAGTTGGTTAAAAGATTATGGATGAACTGGATATGTTAGCGAGATAAAGACGCGGATACTTTTTGAAACTTGGAAGAGAGAAAACTCATAGGATGGGCAACTGGATATGATAGGTATATTGATTACAATATTTGATTTTGGGGATTCACTATAAAATTAAGTGTATACTTTTAAAATAATGTCATCTTTTTAATATCCTTGAGAACTAGTTCATAAATTAGGCCAATCTAACTGCTGAATTTACTGATCTTTGCTTTTAAGTTAATTTTGGTTTGCCTGTTTTATTTTGCTTGGGTGTTTAGGGGAGAGTATTTTTGTTTTCAGAGTTTCATGTGTTAACTTCAAGTGTTTATTTATTCTTATTCATTTTGATAATATAGAAGAGATGGACAATTTAACATTTATTAATAGTTTCTAATAAATGGTTCTCTTTTTTCAGGATGTTCGCAGTAGGTCCAAAGTTGTTGACCGTATTTATAGTCTCTATAAATTTACAGCTCGTAAACATAAAATGAATATTGAAAGAATACTTTATAAACAAAAGACGAATTCTTCTATAAACATTCCCTTTATTCCTGAGACTCCTGTAAGAACCAGAGTAGTTTCAAGGTAAGCATTTAAACATAATCTTAATTTCGTCTGACTATTCTTTAATTACCAAATATTTAATGAACAACAGTAGAATCTATGTATGAGTAATGAAGTTTCACTTTGGGTAGTTGGTGGTTATCCAATGCATGTTTTATATTAGATAGTTGCAAGTTAAGACTTGGGGTAGGCTTTACTATAACATCATTATATTTTTCTGCAAGTTGGACAAATTACCTTGTTTGAAAATTGCTAGAAGTTCCCCTTTGGTCAAAATGTCTACTTCTAGCTCAGCCCATACTTCCTGATACTTGAAAAATTCCCCTTTATAGAATCTTTCTGAGACATGTAGCAATAACTGAGATTTAACTACCTTGAGACTTGTTACTTTAGAAGTTTAAAAAGAAAACAAGTAGGACATGAGATTATTGAGTTTCCCAAATATCCTGCCCTGTGAGAGGTGAGAGCTGGTGTGGAACTGCGACCTGTTCTACTACATGGTGCTGAGGGTGTTGTACAGCATAGAGCTCTCTAGAGCAAGAGGAAGACAAGCAAATAAGTACATCATTTAATAAAGACTAACAACTGCTATGATCGCAGCAAATTAGAAGTTTTGCTGAAGAAGTAGGGATGATGAGGAAAATCCTCTCGGATGTAATATTTAAGGTGGAACTCAAAGAATAACTAAAAGGAAAGACTGGAGAAAAGGTGTGGGAACTTCAAAATATGTGGGAAAAAATCTATGTCTATCCCATTCAAACTCTTTTAAACTCCCCTTATACAAATAAGTCACAGAAAAATCAGGTCTACAATTCCCATCAGGAGTCCAGTCTAGAGTTACAAATTAGATAATCATTAGTTTCAGGATAGAAATGGCATGTAATTAAAAGTAATAGGAATAAGTGAAATCACCTGGCAAAAAGAGTATAGATAGAGAAGCGAGTCTCAAACTGAAACCCACGTTAGTCCCATCTTTCCCAGAAGTTAGAGAAAACCACTTGAGAGCTCTGAAAATGCTAATCAGAAGCACATTCCAGAGTGTGTTGTATATTTAGCATTTTTTCAAACTTTAATGTGTTCCATTAGCTTTTCATTGACTGCTTCCATAAAGATTTACAGCCTCAGGAACCCTAAGGAGTAGTTCTACTCTCTCTTGTAGAGTTGTCATCAACTCTGGCAGTGAGTAGAATTCTTTAGCTGAATTTAATAGCAAACAGCTCAATTAAAGGCATTAGTTAAGGTGATTATAGACTTAAGCAGGGAAAGGAGATAACTTTGTGTTCTAATCTGATTGATGATGGTTAGTTGTTGAAGACAAGTGAACTGGAGAGGCAATGGGTGGCAGAATTGCTGTGGGTTAAAGGAGTGGGTAGATTAAAGCAAATGACATGGATGCATCAGAAATGGTACGTGGAAAATAGAAGCAAATAAATAAAATGTCAGAGGTTTTGTAATTTCTAGTGATGACAAAGCCTCGTGTGTGCTTTGATTGTGAGTCGGCTAAGGTAGAACCGAAGGAAGGAAAGGTGGTTAAAGCACACAGGCCTGCTATTGGCCTTGTTGGCCACATGGATGCTGAAGTTCTTGAAAATGATGCCGGGAGTTAACAGAAGACCAGGAACCAGGTTTCCAGGGAAGAAGACAGAAAGACTAGAAGTGTGTGGTGGTGTAGCTAAAGGCCTATGATTCAAAGGGACCAGAATGATTTTTCAGCATGCTGGAGGAAAATTGTCTGGCGCCATTAATAGGTGACTGAGTGATTAGCACTCATGCAACTTTGCGAGGGTTGTAACTGTAGTATATATTCATATTCAGGAATAGACACATTTTAGTCCCCCCGAAAACGTGGAAAGTTTACAGCCTTAAGTGAGGAACTGTATTAACACTTCTTTTCTCCCCACAGACTTAAGCCAGGTTGGGTTTTGAGAAGAGATAGCCTTGAAGAAATCACTAATCCTCTGCACGCTATTCAAATGGTGATGGATACACTCGGCGTTCCTTACCAGTAGTTGTAAACATTTCAGGGTGCACAAATAGTGAAGCTAATCATGTGTGTGTTATTGCCCTTTTTGTATCACTCCTAAAATCTGACTTTGTATTAAATAAATAACAAAACTGTTTGGTACACTTTTTCCTGTTTCCCCCATTATTTTGTCACTTTATATATGAGTTAATGTCTTCAGATGAGTTTTAATACTGTTAATCCATGTCTACCTTTTTAAAGTACTTTACTAGTTAAATGCCATATATTTCTTATAGATACAGAACACTTGTATCACTCTTGTTTTATATAAAAATTAAGGCTATTTACTAAATCATATTTTAGAAATTAAAGATGCTGCCAATTCATTTTAAGTACTATGATAAAATAATTCTACGTACACTTGTTGAAAAAAAAATCCTCATTTATATTCTTGATAGACTGGGACATTCAAATTGGCAAGTGAACCCTGTATGGAAATTAAATTAAATACCGACTCCCTTTGTGTACAATAATGAGTTGACCTTGGATCCCATGCTGGCTTCTGGTGAAGACACCTGTGTCAGGGTAGAGTCTTGCTCTTCTAGGGTTTTCAGAGTACGTCACCAGACCCTTCGTCCAAGGAGCCTCTGGACCCCAGTCTTCAACATTTCAGTTAGCAGCCAAGTGTTTCAACCATTTGCACCCTCAAGGGTTTTAAGCCCTTAATTTTAAAATGATTGGGGTTATGATTTCTACTGGAAAGAGCATAGGGTTGCTTATATTAGGAGCTAGTCATTTAGTCACAGACCAAACAAACAAACTCACTGCCCTCGCGTCAGTTCAGGATCATAGCTACCCTCCAGCACAGGGTAGAACCACCCCTCCAGGTCTCTGAGACTGACTACAGGAGAAAGCTCAGTCTCCCTCCGAGCTGCTGCTGGTGTCTAATGGCTGCCCTTGCAATTAGTGGCCCAACTTGTAAACACTGCCTGTAGGGCTTATTCGTCACAGACCTGAAAACCATTTAATGTTGAAATATCATTTGTTCTTTTCTGTACCATTGGGTCCTTGTGTGGTTGAAGGTTCAAGGAACCTTAATTCAGTGCCTATTTGAAATTAGTAGGGTTCCAACATCTTGTACTAGATTTTTCTGTTCATTCATGGAAATTATACAATCTTTTGAATAAAATCAATAGTCACTGAATATAGAAATAATGTATCCACTAAATATCCTTCATGAATTTGTTAGAATAAGGATTAAATCAGATTTATTTTAAATTGGCTGGTTTCCTTAGGACATAACTAAGGAGCATATGGGCATGTTGATAAGTAAATCAAAATTAAATATGGAGAAATTTTAGTAGACTTTAGCTCCACCCCTACCTTCCCATACAATATTTTAGAAGCTTTTGGTAATTTGTATTTTCTAACATTTTGGTTACTGTTCACTCGCCAGAATTTCCTCCCCCCCTCCCCTTTTAACAATTTTGGAATCAACCTACTTTGTAAACTATAGTATTAGTATATAATGGACCAGAGTAAAAATTATTGGTCTTGATAGACGCTAAGCTGATTTTAGCCAATTAATATTGCACAAAATTATGTGATTCCCAGATCTTACCCTATTGTTGATTCTCTGACTAGCAGTTTTAAAAAGTTCTTATTATCCAATTTCTTATAGAAGGAACACTCCTAACTTGATGTGATAAACTGTTATCAAGATTCTAAGCCCTCATGAAAGGTACCAGTTCTGTGTATCTACGTAAGGGGGAGCTTGAGGGAAATGATAGAGATGATTAAGACTTATTTTGGAGATGACTGCTTTCTGCTGAGACATTGCCTGAAGGATGAATGTAAATACATTGACTACAATTTAATTTTACTTTAGGTGAATTTATTAATGATGAGGGGAGTGTGTTGCTTTGATTAAATATTCTCAGTCTAGGAAACTCACAGGGGCAGTTCTACCCTGTCCTGTAAGGTCGCTCTGAGTGGGCATCACCTCCATGGCAGTTTTTGTATTTTAATTTTATCTCTACATTTTCATATCCATTGCAATGGCTACACAGAATGCACAGACAAACTCATGATTTAAAGGTTTGTACAGTAAGTTAAGTTGGTAATGCCAGTAAGAAATGCTCATGATTGAGTTATCAGGGTGTGTTAGTCTGGGTACTTTAAAGAAA